TTCCGTGGAACAAGCCCTTCTCAGAATGGGTCAGCTGGATCCACAACAGCAGAGATAGCGTATACTCCCTTTCAAAAAACGAGAAGAGCGTCGGGTGCAGACCATACACCACAAGTGACGACGGCCTCCACAAAATGTAAATGTTTTCTGCCAATGAAATGATTAGCCTGTTGCAGTTGTATTCTATCACTAATTACAACTATCATTTACCAAAAATCAGCTATCACTATGAACCACTACTAACCAGATTTACTTGGAGGCCGTCGTCACTTGTGGTGTATGGTCTGCACCGACGCTTTCTGGTTTTTTGAAAGGAAGGTATCAGTGCCGTATCAGCGTCTTAAGCAGCATAACCTTGACAAAGCTGCTAAACCTTTATTAATAGGATCTATGCCCTTCCCACTCATCTATGTACGCCCACCGTTACAAAGGTGTCGATGTTGACGTCGTGCTTTTCCCCTGCTCCCTCACAAATCTGAGTCCGTTCTCCTGCCCTACTACCCATTGTCTCTTAGACTATTTATCTGTCTCATGTCTTATTTTAGGTATTTCTGATGAAAACCTTGCGCGTTCGCTTCAATAGCTGCTTGATTTACATTTCTACCTTTACTTCCGGGCCAAAGTACCACATAGGTAAGCACAGAATGTAGCTTCAGCTTCAGACGGTCAGAGCTTTTGCGCACCTCTTGGAGTAAGCATTTAACTTATCCAATCTCATTGCAGGAAATCTTCAGTTTTTGGGAGAAAGACCCGGGATTCGGTCCGAGTGGCTCATCAGCACAAATTTGAAAGCAGTAGGGGAATCTGAGCTCAATCACATAATACCGTACCTAAGACTAAACACAACATCTAGACATTGATTGTGTTTATGTGAGTGTAAGTATCAAGAGTTCCGAATGATCCAGCGATGCGTACCTGTCGGAAAATCAACATGATGAACAACCTAGCTTTAGAGCAGAGTGAGCAGAGAACGAGCAGCATGGAAATCATACAAGTACATTGGAGAAATAGTGAAAAGGAAGAAGAAGAACGTCTGGCTACACGCTTACTTCTTCGATACTGCAGTCCTTCCTTAGCTAACAGTCGAGGAACTTATTCTTGCGTAGCAGGATGAGCAGCAATTAGGCAGTGATAACCAAAGCACTTTGAAGAGGAAGGTGCGTGGACATACGAGATGACAAAACCGCATCTAGTCAATTATAGCATTGAATCCAAAGTCCGCAAAACCGGAAGGGGATCCCTAGTTCCGAACTCAGTTAGCGGCCGAAGATTAGAACCTGTATCACCTGTATCACCTGTCATCCCGTTGATCATCGAATTGCTCGAGCGGGCGCCAGCAACGTCTCCATTCGTCCCTGTCGCGTGCAAGAGTTGTCCAGTGGACCCTCCTCGCTCGAGGGACACGATGTTCTTTCCTTTCGTTCAGAGCTTTCGTGAAGAAGTCTGACCATCGGGCCGGCGGTCGTCCAGGTGTTCGTTTGACGTCCCGAGGGATCCAGTCGGTAACCGCTCTGGTCCAACGGTCATCGCAAAATCGCATGACGTGTCCGGCCCACCTTATCTTCGATTCCTTGGCGAAAACGGCAGCGTCCCTGATCTTCGATCGTTGGCGTAGTTCGGCACTCCGGATTCCCCTCTGCACTTGCGTGTACTCCTAGCATCGTCCTCTCGACAGCGCGTTGAATAACGCTGACCGCATGCTCGTCCTGCCTGCGCAGAGTCCAAATCTCTGAGGCGGCACGGAGCCGGATGTTCTTCGTCTTCTTCACTACTCCCTCGATGTTCTTGTACGCTCCCCAAGCCGCTCGTTTCCTCCTGCTCAGCTCTGGAGCTAGATCGTTCATCATATTGATTTCCCGACCTAGGTACACGTAGCTGGAGCATTCGGTGATGTTCGTTCCGTTGAGCGTGAATGGGGCATCAGGAACCAATCCGTTTCTCATAAACATCGTCTTCGTTAGGTTCAGCTGTAGACCAACCTTACCACAGGCGCAGTCGAAATCAGCCAGCATTCGCTCCGCTTGCTCGATGTTCGGCGTTATAAGAACGATGTCGTCAGCAAAACGAAGGTGGTGTAGTTGCCGGCCGTCGACCTTCACTCCCATGTCTTCCCATTCCAGTTGACCCATGAGTTTTTGAGAGCGGCGTTGTTGAGTTTGGGTGAGATGGTGTCGCCCTGTTGAACCCCTATTTCGACGTCGATGATGACCTCCATGGAGAATGCTAGCATTCTTGTGCGGTAAGGGCTTGAGCTCATGAAGATCCTTTTAAAGGCACAACCCAGGCAGAGGTCGTGTGAACTCTTCTCTTCGGTCAGAAGTATAGAACCCTAGGGGACAATCACAAATGTGGCGTTCACGTGCACGGAATTCGACCGACAAGAACGCTTGGGGCTTGCAAAGTAAGCTGCTCGAGCTGCAGCGAACGAGCTCTCTTATCAGGCTGTTGTCTGGCGCTCTCTCATCTGTGCGCTCTCTCGCCCCATACTCTCCTCTCCGCGCTTAGTCTCTCATTCCCTTAGCACAGCCGATTAGGAAGGTGAGTGAGCCCTTAACCTGAGCGTTTTCGACGGATTCTTTTCCTTTTTTCTTTACTGCCGGCCCATTTCGCACCAATACATTCGCATTCGTGTGCAAGAGCCACACCAATGTGATCCTGGGGCATGCCTTTAAGACAGAGCGGCAACTTACATTTCCGTGGAACTTCAATGAGTCTTATAAGATCAGAACCTGCAGAGGCCAAATGAAGTGTTTGGGACGTCTAACAAGCATCAGAACGAGCGCCAGCCTGACGGCTTGATCTCTTTCCCAACGCTCTCCACAGAGCGATTGGGGAGTATCGACATTAATATCAAAAAAATATCTTTTCGTCATCCAAAAGTAGTCCAGAGCGTATTGTACAGCATAAAAAACTATATACGGGAAAGTGTGAATTATGGCTTTTATGAAGAGGTGCAAAAGCTCCGCCGGCTGAAAGCAGCATTGTGATGGTGGCCTACATAGTTGAGAGACATGAACTAATGGACTGAAGGACAACTTAGATGATAGCATTTGATCGTGGAATGCGTTAGCTGACCGCTCTATAGGCTGTCTATTTTTGCTGAAGTTTAAGTTTGATATGTGTCGTGGAGTGGGGAGCTGAATTGGTGCTTGTAAGCAACCACCATGCGTCCAATGTCAGTGTGAATTACCGGTCGAAGAGCATTTGGAGCAAGTGGGGTATTTTCGCGTTTCTTATCTGAAATCTGGTTTCAAGTGACCTCTATTTTCGAACTCTTATCGTTAATATCGGCCCTTCAGCTGCTACTACATCGGCATCTATCGGCTTCCCCACTGAATATGTTCCCGTCCCACCTTCTACATCATGTTGAAGCCAACACCTCACTACTGCTGGCACACGCACTATGAATTCCTTACAGCGTCTTAGCACCTCTTATAAGCAGTTGTCTACCCACCAAGGATGTTATTGTCCCACCCTCTACATCGTCGGGAGCCACATTTTAGAGCCCCGGAACTTAAACAGAATGACGCACTGGCCGCTGGAAAGGTCTCACAAGTGGGACATGCTCCAAAGTAAGTGAGGAGGAAATCAAATATTGCAATGAACTTTCAGAGATCGGTTGCAGGCTCGAGGGTCGATTTTGTGGGCGAAAGAGATGAGAAGTGACGATGCTAACGAGTATATAAGTGACCATATCGTGAAGCAATTGCGGGAGTTACTGAAGCAAGTCCTACGAAAACGGGATCAAGTGATAGCCATTTTGAGCCATGCTCATGCCGATCGAACACAATTATACTGCCGATTTTCCAGGTGGCAATCGCACTTCGCCCTTGACGTATACAGTTGACTTCTGGATACCTGTTACAGTTCAATTGCAAGTATTGAAAGCAGTCAAGCTCATGTTGCAAACGATACGTGGGCATCTTGTCGTGTAGCCCACAGCTAAACCATTCATATTCCATAGCTACCATTTAGAGTTAACATAGTGCGACTAGTATTATTCCAGCGGTATAGGAAACATGCCACATCACAGTTAGTCAAGGGATTCGATGGGAATTCTGAGGCACAATAGGTGAAAATCCTCACCTTTTTCCCAAATAGTTCAGCATCGATGTCAGCTTCGTTTTCAGCGGAATTTTTCCTATCCGTGACGGCCTCTACAGGCACGAATGCGGACTTGTCCGCCATCTTCTAGTCGGACTTCGATAGGAATTGAAACTACCACACCATCTCCCAATGTTTACTCTCGTTATCCTAAGAGATACGTTCCTAAACATAACATCAATAGTTTTACGCATCTTCAGTTTGACAGACGTAAATAACAGTGAGCGGTTGTGCATTCAAAGCCGCCGCGTTTCGCAGAGCTGTTTTTAAAACGTCTTATGTATGAAGATCACACTTTGAACCCAGAACAAGATTCATTTATGCCTAACGGCCTTCTGAATGCCAAAAGTAAAGAAAATTCCCCTTTGGTGTGGATGATACGAGTTCCATGATTGACCTAATAAACAATAGCTTGAAGATTCTCCACGGAAAAAATTCAGGTCCGAAAGGGTTAAAGACTAAAAAACATCATTAATCTCCGTTTGCTTTGGAAAAGGTGTGGAGTTCGGAGAAGTACTATTCAATTCTCTACCTAGGAGCAGGCAAACACATTTCTTCTTGTCTGACTAATGGTAAGGCCAACATACACGCATGAAAGTAGGCAAACAAAAAAGTCGATCGCATCACAGTCGCCGCATCGTCAGCCAGCTTTTCATTCCCCGCTTCCCTTTGAAACACTGCTCTCAGCCCAACGAAATCACTTCCTCACATTGACCGACGTTTTCATTCCCATCCAAACTTCTTCATTTCAGTATCAGAAACTATTTTATTCTTGCCATATGACACAGTGCTAACGAGTTTTCATACTGTTGCTGTGAAGATATTATGTAAAGCTAATTTCCAAGGTTTTATGCAACTTCAACAACTTTATTGCTGTAAATCAACAACTTGTTCATTCACGACATTGCGGCGTCTTGCTGTTTCTTCAGTAGCAGGAGCAGCGCTTTCTTCTCCTCAATGCGTTTCTTTCTCTCCTCCAAGCTGATCTTATGGATGCGATAGCTGTCAATAACAACATTAAAGAAGGGCTAATCGTTCCAGTGAACATGACTCTGCTACCTCTTTTTCTCGACTTTCTTAGGAGCTGGAGCAACATGATCTGGTTGACTTCGAATGCGTTCGTGAGCTTTCTTGTACATCTAAAGATATAGAGTGTGAAAAGATTTTGAAACCAGTGAAAATTTTTGCTCCCAAAAAGAAGACGAGAAACCATTTGTAGTGGAACCTGTAATATAACAAACCTCCTCCAAATCGTCTGGTTCAATACCCTCAGCGATGAACTGAGAGAATTGACGTTTGTAAGCTTCCATATCGTTCTCCTTGAGCAATTTCATATAGTCAGCTACATGCTTGCCGAAAATTCGATCTCGATGAGCTGCGGCGTCGTATTTCTTCGTCTCAGCATCATAACCGAAGAAGCGGTTCTCGCTAGAATAAATACTTCTAGTTAATGAGTATAAAACACTTATGATAGTTATAGATCCAACTAATCTACTGCTATTCCTACTTTAAATTATTGAGGCAGAGATAAAGCGCTCGAGTGCTTTGGCATTATTGGGGCAAAAGGCACTTGATAATTTTGTAACTGCTAGGCAACAAAGCTCACTATGCGCCACTGTTCTTCGGAACGTCACTCACTGTCTACTCATTCATTCTCAAAGCACCCATATCAGTAAGCATTCAGTGCGCATTGAATATGGCCACCTCGCACCTTCAGAATTGTTTTATCAGCAATATTTGATAAATTCTGGAAACCATCTTCGCCGTTTCAGCCCTGCTCTAGCTAGAGGAGCTCGATTGAATTGCGTAGATGTCGCCCAGTCTTTGAGGCACATGAGGCACTCAAGGCTACTATCGAAGCCCTCGAATTGACTATCATAGCGCGCTTGCCAAAACCATAACTCCGACGAATTTAGATGCATTGGTGAAAGTAATAGCCATAAGAAAACTGCTGGTTTCGATGGTGGTGCCCGATTGAAGGTGGAGCTCACGACATCCCATTAAAAACCAAGGGGTGAGAGTCAGTGATGCAACAAAGAAAAACCAAGAAAAACTAGGGAAATGGGAGCGCTTTTGCGCGAGGAATGCGCGTTGGGTGTTCTCACTGGTGCTTACCTCATCAGCGATAATGTTCTCTCTGCCAGGCGGCTAGAGCCAGATGGCGAGGGGTTGGCGGCCAGCGGGGACAGTGGCGCGAGGATGGACATGCTAGATCGCCGCGGCATACCGATCGCTGCGAATTGCGGGAGTCGGCACCCGTAAAGGGTCCGCCTGTCTTCTCACCAGGGGTTTCCTCTTCCTCGACCGCCGACCTTATCGTGGAATACTCCTTTGGAATTAACATGGAAGGATAAACTTCCACCTCTCCAACACTTTTCGCCCTCCACACTTTTCAGCGCAAAGAAAAGTAAGATGAAGGAAGGGAACCTTGGACTCATTCCGTGGTACCGCGGAGTGGATGCGAAGTGAATTCGCATCAAGTTGAATGGAACGCACCATTGTACTCTCCAAGTTCTCTCTCATAGAACCTCGGCATCGTTGTTGAATTCTGTTTTTTTTTCTGCCAACGAGGTTTTTACGTGACAAATTTATTGACGGCCTTTAATAAATTTGTCACATAAAAACCTCGTTGGCAGAAGAAGAACACAGAGTACCATTGAACGTTCTACATCGCGCAGCACGCGCTGCGACTCGTCCGCTGGCTCTGCGTTCTTGAAGCGCGACGAGTCTCTTATCGGGTACCCCTCATGCCGACATATTCGTCAATTCAGCTCGTTGAAATAGCCAACATACATAAAAACGGGTTGTTGTAATTTGCTCTTGTTTCTTTTTATTAATGATAATTTGACTTGTTGAACAATCGTTATTTTTTCTGATATATTAGAAAATAAAAAACCCAAAGCAAACCTGTGTGGTACGTCGATGCCGCCATCTACAACACCTTTCATTAGACCGAAAATCTTACAACCAGTTGTTGTTCGAGACAATCCAACATCCAGTACCGCCTTGAACGGCCTGCGACCTCCTTCCTCTTCAACAATGAAATACTCACCGGTAACCTATACTTTGTTACTTTGAATTATGTTTACGGAAGAATAAGCATCCATATGACCTCATCTTGCCCCTTGAATGTTTCGTCCAAGTTAAGCCGTTTCAAGTGACGTCGAGCAAGCAAAAGGCCAGTGGCATACGCAGCAGCATAGTTTGTTAGACCAACCTGCAACCGAAGTACGAAGTATGTCATCTCTAGGTGCCATACATTCAAGCACGAAAATTAACCTTCGCAACCACACAGAAAATTTTGAGACCAGTACGGCCGGAGATGGAGGGGAGCGACAAACCGGACCGCTTGTGCGCTCACAAGGGAACGATGAAAGTCGAAGTGGCCGTTTGTAAAGAGATATACAGTCGCGCTCAAAAGTCTTCGACCAAATGCTTTTTCGACCGCAACTTTTTCCTGCCATATCTAATATGTTGAAGTTTTGATGTCTCCGAAGACCAACTTGTTTCACTAAACCAGCGTCTCAGTTGAATGGAAGAAAGAGAGAATAAAAAAAATTTTGTCGGAGATCCTCGAGAATGACCGAACTCCAGATAAATATCAAATTATGGAAAAAAAATATCATCCAATAGAACAGTTGACTGAACATGATAACATTGAGCAGAAACAATACTTTTCATACGAATTTCTAGAGTCGCTGATACATCAACAGGGCCTATTTATCGGATCATTCGATGAATTCGCTGCCTACTGGGCGACTTATTCCATTTTATTACTTTGACGAGTTTCTCCTCCATTTTCCTGGTTTTTTTTTGGGCATTAGATCCCCACCCTTTCCCGTGGTGTCTCGCTGAGGCTCAGGATATCCAAGGATTTGTGCCTCCATTAAAGGCACTCCATGCTGTCGAAAG